GGGATGGACCAGGAATTGTGTAATACAGCAGAAAGGAAATTAATAAAAACAAAAATATTTTGCTGCTTTGTTTGCTAATTGATAATATTTCAGACAAGACAAGGATAATTTACAAATTGAGTTTTTAAAAAATCAACAAAAACAAATTGAATATTTGTGAGTTGATGCTTAAAAAGAATGGCCAGGGATGTTGCTCAATGGCACAATGCTTGCCTAGCAAGTGCAGGGTCCTAAGTTTGATCTCCAATATCAAAAAATAAATAGATAAATAATAACTGGATCATAAAATAGCTGAACCATCTTAAAATTCCCAAGATCTAGATAGAAGCAGCTCATAAAACTCATGCTTATGATCTCTTATTAGTTCCAATTTATGTTTAATTATAAATACAAATATATTAATTACAGAAGTTACAATAAAACATAGAAATAGCCAATAGGAATAAAATCTTTGGCATCCTTTTAATTCTTCTAAGATTGACACTGTTGTCTACGAGATTCCGAGGTTGATTGGCTTGTAAAAGGTACATTTATTTTTGACAAAGTAATGTAAAATATAGGTGTTTATTTTAAAAGCAGCTAATATTAATATTGAAAATTGGTCATTAAATTTATTGATGACCACATCATAGTCACTTAAATATGTATTGGTTTTCTAGAGGAGGAGGGTGTAAGAAAGAAAGTGATTTTATCTTGTTCATGCTCTTTTGCAAGAAAAGTGGCTTTTTAAAAAAGGAAGACATTTATATTATGAAACTATTTTGGAAATTCATTCCTTTACAAAAATAAACGTTGAAATAAAGCATTGGCACTGTTGTCAACATTAAAGTCCTGATTCTTCCTTATCTATTCTATATCAGCATTAAGTGTTCTTCACTAGCAAACTTGAATGTGAAATTCCATTCTTAGGCAACTATAAAGAAAGAAACTCAAGGATAAATGAAATCCATAACCACACATTAACCTAAGCCTTCATTATCAACTTTGTCTCCATCCCAACCTTGATACTGAAGCATGTTAAGAAGGAATATATTGACACATTGGAAATGGAAACAAGAATTATTTTCTTTTCCCTCTCTAATTGTTGGTTGAGATGTAAAGGAAGAGTGGCCCAGGAAAAGAATAAGAAGTAAGCAGTTTAGGCAATCCCCATGTTCCTTGGGATCCTAAATTGAGAACTGAATACAATCATTTAATCCATTTTTGAGGACATTCTGCTCTATTTAGCATTGTGCTACATTATCATGGGAGTACTGGGGGACTTAGAAAATAAGTCCCTTGCTATAGCCAAAAGATTGTTATAACAGAACTCACATAAGCCAAGTTTCAATGAGGACACAGCAAAGATCTATTCTTTTTTTAAAGTTTATTGGTACATTTTAGGTATACAGTATGATGACATTCACCATTGGGAATTTGTACCTTTACATGATATATCTTGGTTCTTATTTTGTCCCCATTCCCCTGCCCTCCCTTCAACCCTTCCACCTCTCCCTATTTACAAAGACTTTGTTTTCATTTTTTTCCTTTTTTCATATTGTTTCCTTTCCCATAGTATTTTAAGTAGAAAGAATTTGATACAGTGAATTGAGCGCTTGAAAATTGGTAGAAGGATGGAAGTTTAGGTTCTAGACTGAGCTGTAGGAAGCATCTGCTAGAATGACTTGGGACCTCTGGATGACTGTCTCCTCTAATGCTGCCACGGGAGCCAGAGGGACGGAAACTATGGGACTGCTACTTCCACTTTCACCATCCTCAGTGGCTGTCAGCACATTTCAAAAAATTGACAAGGAATGCCACCGTACAAGTGACTATTGTTTTTCTTGAATCCCTGTAGAAACAGCCAAAGAAGCCAGGAGATGGCCTCCATCTCATTCCTTGCTTCTTAGTTGTACAGATACACATTTGCCTATGCTTACTTCACAATGAATTCTAGTTGCAAGGGAAACTGGGAATGTATTTTTAGTTTTCCAACCTTTTCAAATAGAACAAAGATGGAATGAAGGCTACACTTATCTAAGTTCTCCATAAGACTCTAAACTAGCATCTATTGGTGGCCTTCTGTATTTAGACAATATCCCAGAAACTTTAACTTCAGTGCATTAATTAATTTCACTTAATTAGAGGTGGTGTTCACTTAGGTGTAGAAGAATAGATGGATGATTTAAGGATGATCTTGTTTTCTAAAACAAGACAGATAAATCAGAGGTAGGAGCCAGTATTACTGCGTACCCCAGGCACATTGGAATGAAATGGAAGGATATATTGATTGGATGGCAGTTTAGGAGGGCAGCACCAGAGAAAAGCAGTCTAGGGATACTAACAGTGATGGTGGTCAGGGTTCAAGACTTCTCTTACAAGTCCAACAAAAGTGTTAGGACAAAGTGCAGAATGTTCTTCAATCTCTGAACTATTGTGGCAAGTTACTTATCCTTTGAGCCCTACCTGAACGCTTTTTTAATCAAAATTCTCCTAATGTCTCTGGCCAAGTTGGTCTTCTCTTGCTTACAAAACCCTCTAACAGTGTGTGTCCCACCAAACACATAAACATGGCTTCCTAATTTTGCTCAGTTTTCAGTTCTTCTGTGTTAGACTGGTGCTCCTCACAATGAATCACCAGGAGGAAGGATGCATGGTGCCCATTATTTGCTTCCCTCACTTCACCCTAAGTCCACTTTTGCTTCTTTAGTGAAGGGGACCTTAAATACAATTATTTTCCCTATGTATTAAAAATATAATTTCATCCTTTTCTTATGGATCTTTTTTTTTCTTCCTCTCACAGTGTCTTTTTTTTTTTTTAATGACTTCTCTAATGCTACCAGGAACTCTGGTCCTGTTTCCATGTTTCCTTTACCCTTATTATCTCACTTGATATGGTTTTCTTGTGTCTCTCTGTACCTTAAGCCAATTATTTTCTTGCTTTCTGTACTTTCCTTCTCTACCCTGGTTCACATTCTCTCACTTTGGCTCTTTTCCAACCTCTTCTATATTTTTATACTTTATTCCATTTGTCTCCTTAATTGGGGTCCCTGATTTTGTTTGTTTCTGCCTCTGCATCTGTCACCTTCTGTGCTTCCTGTTGTTTATTTCACTTTATATACATATACTGTCCTTATTTTAATTTTTTCCTCTCCTGTTTCCCACTCTGCACCACTCGCTTCACCCATCTCAGAGATTTCAGCTTTTTTTTGTACAGTGATGCTCACAGGAAGCCTCTGATCCCCTTGCAGGACAGAGGAAGCCCAACATACAATTACTCTTTACCCATTGGTCTGTATAAAATCAAAGGCTCAGGACCTGTAGTCAGATCCAAAGTCCCCAGTATCCATGGCCACCTCTATGGAAACGTTCACCTCACCACTGTACTTTTTTTTAACAACATAATTCATCATAGGAACAATTTATTTTGAAATTCACCCCAAAAGACTGTAACAAAATCACTTCACTGTAGGACTCTCCTGTCCATTTTGTAGTTTCATGGCTTGCCATCTGCTTTAGATGTCAGCAGAGGGAAAAAAAATCTTTCTTTCAGTTCTAGATTGTTTGGAATATATACATATACATACACACACATATACGACATGGAACTCCATGTGGTTGTTACATGTTCATATGCACATATTTATATACACATATATACATACATATATATACAAGCACTGAAAGAATTTTACACTTTGTAAAAATAAAATATATTTAAGTATATATAATGTCTGTAATATATTTACTTTTATATAAAATATATGTATACTTTACCTATATTATACATGTACACACACATATATATAGTAATTCAAATTATGTTAATTCAGTTCAACATTCAAAAGGGTCTTATAATAAGAAAACAAAATAGCCTCTGTCAAATTAGTGATTAGCCATTTAGAGAATAAAAAATAACAGTGCTCTGAAATTCATCATATTTAAAGACATTTAAGCTATTTCATATAAATTATTTTATCTCAACCAACTGCCTCTGTTATTGTTGACTTGTTTCTTTTTACATGTTTTTAAATCTTGTGAAGTGAAAAATGTATTAGAGGGGCTGAGGAGATGTTAGCTCTCTTAATTTTCACAGCAGAGAAACAAGGGCAGAACCTAGTAAAATTTCTTAATAGACTTGGCCTATTGGGTAGCTAAACAGCTGACACCTAACTAGAATCATCCTTATCTAGCTTCGCATCAGTTTTTATTTATATTTCTTGCCCTGCTTTAAGAATCTTCCAAACTAACAAGTACACATTCCAAGATCCACTTTAACAGAATCGAGCTGGAATTATAGGTATTTATTTTCTTTATTTAGATAAAGAAAACCAGATTTCAGAAGCCAACATCACAAATAAAATTAATTAGGTACAGTAGATTGAACTTTCTTTTAACTGACCATACATATTTAGCCAATCAGGTAATAGGAATTGAGACAAAAGCTATTTGTTGAGTCCCAGTGGTTTTCAATACCTCAGACATTACATACGTCAGCAACTTAAGTGGATCTTTAAAATTTGCATGTTAAATATATTTTCTATGAAAGTAACATTGAAAATAATTATAAAATAATTTATTCTCAAAGACCCATCAAACTTTTAGAATTTAAGTTTACATTTCACTTCTCTTTATGTGTCAGTAGGAACACTTTTTGTCTATGTTTGGGAAGTATTTATGTTAAAAGGTTTATTTTGACTTGGTGGAGGCACTGGAGTCCCTCAAGTTATTTAGAAAACCTCAGTAAAAATAGAAGCTATATATATCCAATTTATAAATTTTACAAAAATGTAAGCAGCACTAAACTCTCAATTTTAGTAGATCAGCTTCCTGACAAAAAGTCAAAAAAGTGAGTAAAGAATAACCCTACTGAAAAGATTCACTGCAAAATAAAGTTTGGCTTGCAAAACTTCTAGATAGATACATAAAGTATCGTAGGTTCAAATAACTGGGGATATCAAAGTTTGTCCACGCAACCTTGCTTGGCAAATACTTTTTCTCTGCTCATAGAGGGACCCTACCTGTCCTTGAGCACATGCTTCCCAGTCATTTCTTCACTCCTGCCCAAAACTGGCCTCTCTTGGGATTCTGCTATCACCATATCAGAGACTGTGATGGCTTCCTGTAACCAACAATCCCTGCTTTTCCGCAGTCAAGTTGATGAGACATTGCTGATTCATATTAACTGTGCAAGTTACTAAACTCACAGAAAACACGATCTCAATTTGGCTACATATTAAATGTGCCAGTCTCTGTTGTCTTACCTAACACTCTTAACTGCATACATTTAGCTCTTGATTGGAGAATGATTTCACTTCAGACTGAAAAGAAACGGCTCTGGCCTTGGTTATTTTGGCATACAAGTCTCCAATATGACTCTGTTTTCTAAGCAGACATTAATGATTCTAAAACTAATATTCATTGTTTGAAGAGGCACAGTGCCCTTGGCATTTACTTAACCTTTTGTCTCATGTATGAGTCTGAGTCAGCCTAAATCCTTTTCTTAATTAATATCTTTTCTTTTTATGGCCAACGTTATTTATTGAACAATTTGCATGTAACAATTAGAGCCATGAGAGCTTAAGAAAACTCTTTTTGCTCAGAAGTCCACCTTTTCTGACTTTTATTTATTTAGTTTTTAAGGTTGTTTCAATTATACAAACTCAGGGAAGCTTAGCTAAAGAGGTAGGGAATAAGTTCAAGCAGATAGATCTTATGTCAGTGATCCCTCTACCTGCTGGAGCCCAAAGGAAAAGAAGGAAAGCATTCCTGTTTTTAAAAATGATCTGATATATGTAACAAAACTGTAGCTACTTGAAAATAGTATATAATAGATTCATTTTACTCTAAGTATCTGCAGAAATTTCACATTTTTGCCATTGTCTGTAGGGACGAGACATCACTCTAAATCAGTCAATATGGTAAAGCAATTTATACTTCTTTCTTATGAAATAACAGAACAAAGTGAAAATAATAAAATGTTACAAATGAATTTTTAAAAAACTTTATGCATGACCCCAAAGCATGCAGAAAAGTGAATTACTATTACCATCTTCCCTCACATCTCTGTCCACATTAATTCATAATTTTGGCATAATTTAAATCACAGAATAGAAAAAGTATCCAGATATATCATTCACTTCAATTTTGTTCATAGATTTTTTTCAATTGTTATATTGGAAGACTTGAATGATGTTAAAGAAATTAGATGTGTTCAATAAGTTAATCAATCCAATATTGAGTTCTTTCATTTTCTATAATGTTTTGATACAACATTATAATATACACCTTTGAAGAATGTGGCCTATTTTTTGCTATACAAGTAGAATTATTGGACAAAACAGCATGCATTTTACTGCTGGGCAATAATATTTCACACTGTATTTTGATTCTAGCAATGTATGAATATATTGGTTTGATACTTTCTATTGATACATATTATCTATATTTTTAAAAGTATGCTAAGTGGATATGTATAAAACAAAAGTTTTCTGATAACTTATATATTACCTCCCCAAATCCAGAAATTATTGTTCCAAATCAAGGTATTAAAATTTGAGCCAAACCAAATATGTTAAGTTTTTTAGGTATTTTGAAGACTTTAAGCTAGAAAATCACTAAATGTCAATAATCATTACCTAGTACTCCATATGGAGATGTGGCAGGCATAGAAGATGTTTCTGAAGGTGTATTGATTCTTTTTTTAATAAGAATTTATGGTATGATTATTTCCCTCTTTTTGAAAGGGAACCAGAGGGGCAGACTTTTTATTTGAGAGCTCTAGTGAGTCAAGTTTATACTCTAGAAAAATATTTTTTTTCTTTTCCCAACTGGCATTTCAAAGATATTTCAAGTGCTCATATTACTAGATATTAAGCACTTCGACAAGAAATTATCCAAATTTCCCAATTTTCTCCTTAAAGACTTCTTGCAGAGTCTTTTTGAAATTTGCCTGTAGAATGCAGATTGTCTTATACATGATATGAAATTTACTTAGGTAGTAGAAACCTTTCTGGATGATTCTAACTTTTGACAAAATATAGATAGACGAGTTCATTTCACAACAACCTCATGGTAGATTTTTCTGGAGAAAGAAACTTCAGAAAAAAGGGAAGATAGACATATAATTAAACTTAGAAATTGTATAAATTTCAATTAATAGTAAAAAAAAAAAAAGACAAATGCTTTTCTGGGCTCCATAAAGCTGCCACAAACACCCTTGAATCTGTCTCTTTATAGTATGAGAAAATTTTTCTGAGTTAGATACATAGGCAGAAACGATATTACTGGGCACTAAGAATGAGATAACTTCAGTGTTCATCTCTGCCAAATTTCTTTCCAAAATGGTTTTAACAGTTTAACATGTCCATCAATCAAGTGTAGAAATTTCCACTTTTTATACTCTCAAGATCTCTTGGTAACATCAGACCACAATTTTTTCCTAAGAGTTTTACAGTGGTATTGCAATTGTTTTAATTTGCATTCCCTAATCACTAGTGGAAGGAACACTTTTTTGTTTTCTTCGTCATGACTCCCGGGGAGTCCCTTTTTATTTTATTTTTATAACTTCCAGAGAAATGAAGTTCCCTTACCAAGGCTCTCCTTGAGAATCTTAGAAAAGCCCTGAGTTCTGCCTAATCAGACTATAATTTTTAAAGACATTACTTCTCTAGTAAGCTTAGGAATTAACAATCAACTGTCCAAATCATCTCACAATAAACTGACTTTGCCACCTGTCATTTTACCCACACAGCCTCTGTTAGATTTTAGGTAGCATTCTATCTTTAAATAATGAGGATATCCCTGGGAGACTGCTGAACTTCCTATTATCATGTAATATCTTAGTTATTATTTAATATTTTTTTCAAAAATTAGTGGAAAATTAATTTATAAAATGAATGAAATGGGATGAAAACATTACTTAGCAGAAAAAGAATGACATTGATTTTAACTAGTTGATAAGGATCTTAGGATAGAAATTGTGATTACAATCTGTGTGGTAGAGTAATAGCTCTTTATTTAATACCTATAATTAAGCAGCAGGCTATACAGTTTTGCATGTAATATTTCATTTAGTTTCACAAAAAAGGTGAGGTTGGCATTATCTCCATTTAAAGGATGAAGAAATTGAATGTTCAAATTCACAATTCAATGAGAAGACAAAACCCTGACTTTAAAAAGAATGGACAAAATATTTAAACAGATATGTTATCAAAGAAGAAACATGGGTAAAAAATAAGCACATGTAAAGATCTTTGACATTATTAATTCTTAGTGAAATGCAAGGAAAATCCATGTGATTCCATTATACATCTATAAAAATGGCTAATATTACTTGACTGAAGATGCCCAGTGACAAACAGGATGTAGATCAACTAAAATTTACATACTCTGTAGCAGAAAACAAAATGGCACAACTGTATTGGAAACTTGTTATGGTTTGTGTCTAGATGTCTCCCCAGTGCCTCATGTGGCCTGTCATAGGTGGTGCTTTTTCAGAGGTGGCTAGATCTATAGTGTGTGATGCTAGGATCAAAGGCACTAGGATTTAGGGTGTGAGTGCTACCCACCCTAAGTAGCCTGGATAAGATACAAGGGATAGAAAGAGCTGTGGTTGTGGTTGTCCCTTGTTTCTTTGCTACCTTCTGCCTGCCATGAACTGTTTCTCCTCTGTGATGCCTGTCTGCCGTGTTACCCTGCTTTGGAGCCAGCTGATTCTGGACTAAAACCTCTACAGATTGTGAGATAAATAAACCTTTCCTCCTTTAAATTTGGGTATCAGGTATTTTGTCTCAGCAATGAGAAAAGTAATTAAGAAACTCTTCAGCAGTTTCTTATAAATTGAAACATATACTTGCCAGCAATTCCACTGTCAGGTATTTACTCAGGAAAAATGAAAATATATTCCCATCCAATGGACAAGATCTGTACACAAATACATGTGGTAGCTTTATCCATCATCACTAAAATTGGAAACAATTCAAGCCTGTCACCTGATTAATATACAGACAGAGAGAATACTTCTCAGAAATCACAGAGTGTGAACTGCTGATACATGAAACAACAAGGAAGTGTTCAACAAGCATTATGCTAAGTGACAGAAAATAGACTGTAAGATTATATTTTATATGAATTCAATTATATGGCTTTTTTGACACTCTGGTATATGGCATTTTTTGAAAAAACAAAGCTACTGGGACAAAAATCAGATCACTGTTTGAGAGGGGGTAGAAGGCATTGACTGAGGGAGTCATTGACTATAAAGTATCAGCAGGGGATTTGGGGGAATGATGGAAATGTCCTGTATATTGATTGTGATGGTGTTTATGTCTGTATGCATTTGACCAAGTTCATCAAACTGTACATCTGAAAGGGGCAAATTCTACTATACATAAATGCTATCTTGATAAGTGTGACAAAAATCTAGTTCTTGTATAGTAATGCTTTTAATCTTTTTACTTTATCTGGCTGTTTCCAGTATCTTAGATTACAGCCTGACACATAGGAACCATTCAATAAGTTAATGTTGAGTGAATTAAAAAGAAAGAGAATGCCCTGGCAATGACAATAACATATTTTGCCTCTTTCTCAGTTTTTATTTTTCTAAATTTTATTTTATTTAGTAAGAACATTTCACATAAAATCTACCCTCAATAAATTTCTAAGTGTACAATACAATATTTTTAACTACAGACATCCTAGTTTTCTCTAGACAAATCCAGCTATGATCATTCATGCCTGGCACCAATTCTGTAAGCTCACACTTATGCAAGTGATATTTCTGTGAAGCCGACCCATGAGTAATTTCTGAGTAGGTATTAAAACACCCTCACGTCTACAAGTCTAATATATTAATAAATGTGCTGTTTTCAATAAGACATCTAAATTTGCATGCACCATCCTACTTGTTATGTTCAGTGCTCAATTTTTTAATGTTTCTTGGACACTGGCCAGTAAGTCTGAGTCCCTCGTTAGTTCATCTATTACTTTCTCGCCACAATAGATTTGGGTCTTCGCCAAGAAATGGACTAATATTGCATACAAAAATCACATAATGCATTTCCTGATCTGATGTTTCCTTACTGAGAGGGGAGAATGCACACACACACACACACACACACACACACACAAATCCTATCTATATACACAATCTACCCAAGTTAAGTAAACATTTTTTATTGCTGTTATTAATACTGGGTCCCTTCTATAATCCATGTGTTTGCC